TAACTTCTCAAGTCGGCATCTACGCGGATGACACCACAATTTATTCCTGCCTCAAAAACAAATCCAGTCTCGCTGACAAAACTCACCTTGCCGTGCGCCTCGAAAAGGACCTCCAATCGATTGTGAACTGGGGCAAGATTTGGCTGGTCAACTTCAACGCTTCGAAGACTAAACTGCTCTCTATTAATCACCACAGAGAGCCTTCCCTTCCCTCCATTATAATGTCTGACGCTCAACTTCCGAGAGCAACTCTCTGCGGCTTCTCGGTCTCACGTTGACTGCTGACCTGAGATGGAATAAATACATCGAGTCAATTGCCTCGTCCACTGCGAGGAAAGTTGGCTCCCTGAGCCGTGCTAGGAAGTTTTTCCCCCTTGAGTCGATCCTCCAGATATACAAATCCACAATTCGCCCTTGCATGGAGTATTGCTGCCATATATGGTCTGGCGCCCCTTCTGTTTGCCTCGGGGTTCTTGATAGGCTCCAGAGGCGGATATGTAATATGGTTGGCCCTACCCTGGCGTCTCGTCTACAGTCACTTTCTCACAGACGCACCGTCGCCTCCCTCTGTCTGTTCTACAAATACTTTCATGGAAATTGCTCCGAGGAACTGCATTCGCTGGTTCCCAAACTTCATGAGTTCAAGCGCCCTACGAGGCTGGCATCCCTCTCACCCCTTCACTGTCGAAACTCATAAATGTAGCCGTCTCTACTACTCTAATAGCTTCATGTCTCGCACCTCTCTCGCCTGTGGAACTCTCTTCCCTTCTCCTGTTTCCCTGAGAGTTATAATCTCCAGCTATTCAAGTGTAATGTCAATCGACATCTCCAGTTGCCTTAATCTATCTACTACCCTCATCCTTTCTTCTATCACTCCTATCTGATCTTCCTATTTTCTGTAACCCCTTGCGTCCTAGTGGCTCCCCGCCTTGCTTGGGGTGAAATGCTTAAAAAAAAAAAAAAAAAAAAAATATTAAAGTTAATGTATTAGCTTGGAATTAAAACTAAAATAAAAAATTAAAGAAAGATTTTTCACTTTTAAAAATTAATTTTTTCGTTCTCCTTCACATCCAGTAACCTCACTATCGTTTTGCTCGAGGTGAAATGATGATTTTCTAAGCGTGGCTTAGATGTATCACAAGGTCAAAAGTAGTGGGGGGGGACCCAGGAGGATCGATCTCATTGCTCGGTCACAACTGTTCTAGAGCGGGAAGCTTTCAAACCATAACACAACGTTGAGGTTTCCTGGTGATTGTATAATAGTTTGGATGTAGCATAAGAACGAAGGTATGGGGCACCTAGTGAGGAACAAACTCTGCTTGGGATGAAATGATTAAAAAAAACTTCATAAAATTAAACCCATTCTATGAGAATGGTCTCAGATGCTCTTGGAAAGAATAAGTCGGCAGAATCAGAATAGTACACACCCATATCGTTGGCACCAAAAAGACGGACATCCTCCTTAATACATATACCGTAAGACATATTCTAACCTATTGCAGAGTGTCCTGGGTAAGACGATAAACTACATCCAACAGCGAGGCCTCTTATCAGGAGGTTTTGAGGAGCGTGGAACAACTTCTTAATTTCTTGTGTTCCCAAGTCTACCCTGACTCAAAGTGGTAGCATCTGTTAGGGTTGCAGCTATGGGCAAGTAGATAACCCATCAAATTGGGGTCAAAACACTACGAAAGTGTGAAAATAGATTTTACTACCATCAATACATTTTTGAAAAAAAATATTACCAGCAATACATTTTGGACAAAAATATTATAAGCAATACATTTTGGAAAAATATTATCAGCGATACATTTTTGAAAAAAATATATTCAGCAATACATTTTTGAAAAAAATATTATCAGCAATACATTTTTGAAAAAAAAATATTACCAGCAATACATGATTTTAGTAAAATATTACCAGCAGTAAAAATCTTGTCGGCATTAAATAACCCATTGTGTTTGATATGCCGTAAAACAAACCAAACCAAACCAAAAATCTTGTCAGAATTAAAACATTGAGATTGATATGCCATAAAACAAACCAAACCAAACCAAAAATCTTGACGCCATTAAATAACACATTGAAGATGATATATCGTAAATCAAATCAAACTAAACCAAAAATCTTATCAGCATTAAATAAAACATTGAGATTGATATGCCCTAAAACAACCAAACCAAACCTATTGTATTCCCCTTTACGTCAAGGATTTTATGGTATGACTAGTCTAGAGGACCTTTTCAAGAAGATAAATGCACAGACTATCCTCGTCTACTTGAAGGGGGGTGATCTATAGCAGGGTTGGCCAAAGCACGGCTCGCGAGATAAATGCGTCTCTTTGAACTATAATATGCGGAACGTGGAAATATGTTAGCTGAGCTACTTAAAACGATCATCTGTCAAGATTTTGAAAATATTTGGTATATATGTGTCATTTGTGATTACTGAAGAAAATACGAATTCACAGTTAAGTCACTGCATACATATATAAATATTT